TATTATCAGTGTTTGCTTTATCCGTCATGCAAATCTAAAATCAACAGGTCGATGAGTCTCTTACCTTTTTCTACCGTAGGTTCTCTTCATCTTTAGAGCGTCCATGGCTTCAGACTCGTCATTCTGAAACATTTGTAAAGTGTGCATAAAGTACATTTCTGGATATGGAGCATTTCATGTAACAGGTGTTGTACTTATTATGAGTGTATTCTCACCTTGGGATACCCAGCTGAATTTAAGTCACAGGGTCTTTCAGGTACTCGCTGAACAACTACTGGAGAGAATATAAAAGTGAATTCAAAATCAGAAAAATAAACGCAATAACTACCACCATGTTGATAAAGAATACACTGTTCTTTACCTGGACATGGCACTCCACTTTTAGGCTGGGAGTGGACTGATCTCCTCTTCCTCGGCACATACAGAGGTGACATATCCCCTCCGATGGGAGCAGGGTCCATGCTAGGAAACCCTGCAGACACCCCCGTTAAAACAGAGAAGAGGGAACATCACAGTGAGTGGTATTTCACAAAATTCAACCTAATAAACACAAAGATCAGATAGACACTGAGCAAAGTCAGATTTGATTTGTCCTTAAATGCCAATGACATGAAGGTCTATAATCATTTTATACAAATCAGGGTTTATGGAAGTTTTAACAAGTAAAATGTAGCATTTGTTAAACACCACATGGATTGAAATGTGATTTGGTACTTAGAGAATATGATGAAGCTAATATTTCAGTATTTACTTAAGATTTTGAAGGATGTATTGTGTGTACGTCTGTTATGGTAATTTGCATTATACAAGATTTTAAATGAGCTCCACTTTTACCAGCTGCAGCGTCAAAGTGATGAACACACGGAAACATCACTAATTATATTCCAGTAATACAACACCTGACATAATAACTACTACTTCTACTTTTGTATGCTTATACTTTTGTTTAACTGCATTACTTTCACTTGTAGTTTTCATTTAGTTAAATGTCTAAAACATGTTCCACCTCTGCATATAACCTTACATATGGTTGCAAATAAAGGTTTATCTGTACTAGCATCGTAAAGGTTTTACGGTCTCAATGCTTTCGTTAAAGTAGTAAAATTATGTGTTTCCTGTTGACTTACTATGATGATTATGTTTACAGTGTTTCCATCATGCTGGACACCTGAACGCAGCTTCCATGTCACACTGAAGGCCACTGACATGCAGCTTTAATGGAAACACTGAACAACCAGTTATAATGCAGTTAAAGCGAGGAATGTGTTTTTTTCTCGGTCCAGCAACCCTGTAAAAAAGAAAAAAAACAGCCTTTCCTGGAGCTGAGGAAAAGATAAATAAAACAAAAACATGTTTCTTTCTCGGGATGCAGGAAACAGCTGAAGCATACAGTGTTTTTCCTGCACACCATAACCTGCTCTTCGTGGTTTTTCTTCACCAAATGAGAGGAGATCTTACCGTCCTACAGCTCTTTCCTCTGCGGAGCCTCCATGTCTGAGGCCGGCCTCCTCGGAAGCCTTTTCCCCGGCTTTGACACCCTGAGGACGGCTAAGCTGCACAGCGAGGCCCGGTCCTGGAGCTACACAGAGTCTGGAGAAACAAACATGTACAGTATCTGCATGTGGAGCATAATTCACCACTCTGTATTTCTGTTTGTGAGCGGAACGCCCTCCTGCTGGAGAACAAATAAGACCCGCATCTGCTGCTGCCTTCACGGGCTGTGGGAAATACCGCAAGTTACAGAATCAGCTCTATTGACTAAGCATGCAGTGGTAAAAAATAAATTACTCCGATCTTCCAAAAAATATGCTAAAAAAAACCAAGTAAAATATAGCATTTTTTTTGTGTAAAAATACCAATATCACATTATAGAAATATTTAGTTACAAGCAAAACAATTCATGCTTTATCTCAATTTAGATTCAGAGATTCATGATTCAAAGGTTTTGTTGTCATTATGTACAAAGCTACAGTGTAGAAATGGCAATGCAAATATTATGACCTCCAACAATCCAACATATATAATAAAATACAAAAATACAGATTAAAAAGTAGTGCAAAAATTATAGATATTAAAGTGCAACAGTCATTTATTATTCTAAAACTCGTTTTGCAGAATGATCCATTTTAATATCTTTATTTTTGTCAGTGTATTATAATTATTGATTCT